GCCCACTTTTGGGCATGGCTAGGGGTGTGTACGGAGGAAGGAATAAAAGACTGAGCATCAGACGTCTTGCCCTCTTTCCGGCTTCCAGTCCGGTGGTGGAAAACTACTCAGCTCATTTGGGTTACTTGTTTTTCTCTTGTGAGTAATTTCTACAATAAATACTTACTTATTCTTTCAGTAAGTGTGCTGTTTATCGTAGCAGCATCAAACTTGGATATTTGTGCTTTCTGAGAAATCAATTTTACCTGGGGAATCATCTCTCTAGCCCTCGGTGAGAGTCTTGATGATAAAGGTACTTGAAAAAAAGAGAAGGGACCACGAATCAAATCATTCACGTTCCAGTCAATCATTCCTAAGCAAGGGTTTGGGACTCTGATATCTCTGAAATGTGGGATTCTCTAAAGTACCAATAACTCTAAATGCTAATTTATACAAGATCCGGAGGAGATGCTGACTAGAAACAGGGGAAAGGATGGTGTGGCAGTTGGTGGCTCTCATGGGACACTATGAAGCTTCATCAAGGTAGTTACTGATGTCGGTATCACTAAGGACCAACACAGAGAAAGGAGGGCTCAGTATTCCAAGTGCATGGCTGGAAAACCTGGACAAGTGGGTTATTCATCAAAGTTGAGATGGGGTCAGGATTAAGCTTTTTATTTTTAATTCAGATGTAAGGTAGAAATAGAGAAATACTGGCAAAATGTGTCACTTGCTCTTGCTAAATCTTACCACTAGCAACCTTACAGGGAATTTCTTCTTGTCATGAATTCCAGATGCCACAGGGTGAGGACAGTTTGTCATTTGTTACCCCATTCTCCTATGATCACATCTGGGCTGCAAGTCCCTCGTCTTTCCTTCTATACCATCTGGACAGCAGAGTCCTTTTCCCCCCCATTACCTGGAGAATGTTCTGTGCAGCTTGACACTGCTGATGAGCAGGAGCTCCAAGGATGCAGCTTTTAGGAACTGTCACTCATGCTCTGAGGGGCTTTTCAGTGCTGTGGCTGTCTTTGAGTCACCCATGCTGTTGCAGATAAATCTTCACCTGTTCCCCTATAAGGAACTCCAATATCCAATAGACTCACTGTTTCATCAAGCTATGCATGGGAATCACATTTACTCTGTCATCATGACTATATGTGTAGCGAGTGGACATTTGCTCCTTTTAACCAGGAAAAGCCCCACACCTGCATATTTTATAGAATGTCCACTGTGTTCAGAAATGAGGTTGCTGTGGTAGATACTGTGATCTTAAAAAAGTTACAGTGGTATTAAATGTTTCCAAAGAAAACACATAATGTGCCAAGAAAACGTTGGGCATTATCACAGATACCTCGAGATAGCCTGGAAGAGGGAGAAGATGGTGGCCAACTTGGGAAGAGAAAATTCAGTGTGGATGGGAAGAAACATGCCAGTGGATAGACAGAGGGAGGAACACTCCTTCAGCATGCAAACGAGCACGTGGGGAGGAGTGAAGGGAGCAGAACGTGAACTGGACACAGTCCCTGCTCAATCTGAGTTAAGTCTGCACTGAATTGGACAGCAGCCAGAGCTTGGCTTCACTGTGACCTTAATCTTTACTTTGGAAATAATTTGAATGAAAAGTTTCTCTATCTTGCCCCCATGGAGACTCTTGCCTGGTCTGTGGGTTATGGTGGTTGGGTGCCCAGATAGTATTATAGGGAAAAAAATGTATCATGACATATCCAGGAGCTGGTGTCTTCTCTCTGTCTTTGTATTGTACATCAGGCCCTCCTTACACTGCCTGACCTTCCCATCGGTGGAATGACTGAGGTCACCACCTGCAGATCCCTGATGTTTGGTGATTGCCAAAGACAATGTGCCAAGTGAAATTTGGAAGCCAGGGTAAGAAGCCAGGCTAGAATAGATTACTCAGGAAATCCTGTTAGTATGTGTATACAGTGGTGGTTACTTTTCAGCATAGTTTGCCTTATCTTCCAAACTTGCTTGAAACAAAACCTTCCCTGTTGGTCAGTCTGACAAGATAATAACAGCTGACAGTTCACTTCGGCCAAGGACTCACAGAGGAGACTTCAGCAGGGTTTTATGACTACAGATCCCAAACCTGCGAGTTTCACTGGAGTATTCAATGAGATTGATAGTGGATAAAAAAAGAAGGAATGAAAAACAGAAGGGAAACATACGTGTTGGCTTTTTCATTAGGACAAGTGTTGAAAGTCGCAGACCCCACCCAGTCAGCTTTTACATCTTTGTCTTTGACCTGAGATCATAATCTTTATAGGAAACAGTAAGTAAAGAGGTTGAGAGGTAACAGGGAAGGTGAGTGGCTGGAAATGAATGTTTCCTAAACGTTTACTACCCTTTAAAAACGTCCATCTGAAATGGTAGCTGGAAGCTGTGCAGAAGAGAACAGTGGGGGTGTTATTAAACATTAACATGATGGCAACTTTCAGTCTGAGAACGAGGATTAACTCTATACTTTGAATAATTTGGCGATTTCATTAGTTCGAGTAAGAGTCAAGACAAATGATGGAGTATTGTCCAAGATACTGTGGTATTAGGATAGTTTTGAAGTTGCCTTTCAGAATGAAATTTCCAGAGGTATACTTAGGTACACTGTAAAGCTACAATGTTGTTTCCTTAGTGTTTACATTTTTGAACAACAATTCAAAGAGCACATGCTTCTCTTTCTCTTTGGCTGTGGGTTGGTAATGTCATATTCAAAGAACATTACACAGTATGCTATTGTGCCTAGAATTTTACAAAGTGTTGGCAGCAGTTGTGCTAGTCTAAGAGATGATGGAAATTGGCAGTAGACATTGAGTTTTACTCACATCTCCTTATGGAGACTCTGGGATGATTTAATGGCACCGGTTCCTCGGATTGCTCTTTCAGTAAAAATGTAAAATATCTGTTGTGCAAATTTCCAGACTAAAAGGTTTGCAATTTCTTTTTCACTGTCATGCATCCATCAGATTATCATGTTACACTGGACATAAAGACTTTGTTTTGAGTACTCCAGGCTCTTCTTGACTCTAAGTATTATTGGACTTGATGGCAACACAACAACATCCCAATGTCGCTAAGTAACTTTATGACCCTAATACCAAGCACTAGAATTAAATTATTAATAGACTAGGCTGTGAACAGCTGCTTCATTGTGGGTGTGATGGCATTATATTAGCTGATTCAGAGATTTCTATAAAGAAGCTTCACTTAATTAAAGATACCAAAGTCAATAGGACTATAGTATCTGCCAGTAACAATACATTCCCCTGTCCTGTGATAGTATGACTCTAAAGCAGTAGTTCTCAACTTTCTTAATGCTGCAACCCCTTAACACAGTTCCTCCAGAATCATAAAATTATTTTTTTGTTGCAACTTAATACCTGTAATATTTGTAAATTGTGATGTAAAAATCTGATATTCAACCCCTGTGGAAAGGTCTTTCACCTCCAAAGGGATCATGACCCACAGGTTGAGAACCACTGCTCTAAAGAAAGACTGAGAGAGGTTAAAAAAATCTCTACCCAATGTAGGTGACACTCTTATTTTGCATGCCATTGTATGTTTTCTATTTTCACTTAAAACTCACAAGCCTTGAAGAGATGACTTTTTTTTATTCATTGTGTTAGACAAAATACTGATGTCTACAGTGTCTTTTTTCTGCAGCAAGGCAGGACAGGCTATTCTCATCTTTCAAGAGTTTCCAGACAGTTCAATGAGGATTAAAAAAGGTGTTTTTTTGTGGGTGGTATTCAGAAGTACTTCATAAGAAATACAGTGCAGAAAGTGAAATACTTATTTAGCCCAAATCTCAGTTTCTTTGAAGTCTCAGTGAAAATGACACTCATGTTCAATCAATTCTTCCTGGCCATGTGGACTTTTAAAAAAAATTGTGACATGGGCCTGAATAATGACATCGTGATGCTGACGCTCTGTAGTCAATTTGTAGAACCAATGAGCCTCTGAAGCCACCATCCCCAAATCTCCCCTCCAAGGGAGACAGAGAGGTTGCTACATTAATTTCACTTTGAAATTGCCAGGAATTCTTCCTCATTTAACATTAAAAGCAAAATATCTCCCAGATAGGCCCAGAACATGCTTGCTAGTATTTGCCTGTTTTCATCACCTGATATCTTTAGCCTCAAACTTTAGTATTTTCTGCCATTTGTTGGGTTAAGATCACATTGCCATGAATTTTGGTTCACGCATTACTCCTGCATCTGTTAGGTGGAGACCACCTTGGAATTGATTCTAGAAAGGCCATTATAAAGGTTAGCCAAACACCCTCCTTTTTGTAAAAGCTCTATGGATGACAGTGGAAAGGGTAGATGTGATTTTCTGAAGTAACCCAACTGTGAAAACTGGTTAACATTTGCTGTTGTCTTACACAAGTACACCAGAGAGTTGAGTGGAAAGTGCCTTATACATTTACAGGAGCTCCATAAACAGCATTATTGTCCTGTGCTGGTATACCTCTGAAACAGAGCCTCTCAATTCAAACACCATTTATTTGATGTTAAACCAGGACTTAGTTTCTGATCATACCATGAGTCACTTTTAGTAGCTCTTCATTTTTTTTTAAATTTCAAATGAAAGCCTATAATTTTGTTGTTTCATAATTTATATAGTTCATATGACTCTCACACTGCATTGTATTATGTTAAATTTCAAAATTTTACCAGCAGCGCACTCCCAATTGGTGATGACCAGAGTACCCTTAAGTAGATAGCCTTGCTTAAGCTCTGTGGGGACCTCACTCTGACAAGGCTAACTGTGATCTCCAGGCTTCTGAGGCTTCCTCATACTCCTGAGCAGCTCACAGTAAGGAATGAGGGTTGCTGTTTAACATTCCTAGCTTGTGTGAGGATGACTCTGCTGCTCCTCTTATAACCTTACTCTAAGGAGTTCAATCATTTTAGATTTGAAATATGGACAATTTCCTAGCCTTGTGATGACTTTTAGGAATCAATGTCTTACCCAGAGGGAAGCACAGGGAGGATTACAGTACTTACAGGTGTCTTCTTCTTCCATGGATATGTTGATCACATAACAGGCATACACAAAACCAACCAGCTGGAAAAAAGCATATGTTTTTAGAGTTTGTACCAACATATATCAAATAACTTCTATGAATTTGTAATAGGATAAAATTTTACATCTAAATAATAAGTGCTATTTAAAACTTTTTATTCTTCAGTAACCTAAATAGCTTTCTAAAAAATAGAGATAAATGAGAAATAAAAAAATTCTGGATACTTTGCTTAGACTTTGATTTAGGGTATAAACACGATTACAAACTATTCCTAATATATACTTTACTTTTCTGTATTTATAGAGCAATTTGCACTATATTCATTATTTCTATAACTGTTTTAATGTTTAACAGGCATAAAAGGACTAAAAACATGTTGCATATAAATTAAACAGCAATCATCTACTTAACAATTTGAAATGCTGTGAGAATGTAAATTCTGTTGAGTACTAAATTGTTCATCAGTTACATCAGAAGAAAATACATTAACTTGCTGGTGATTAGTGGTGGAATGTAATAGGAAAGAAAAATGTACTCTTTGATGAGTGTCTTAAGGAACAACTGTAGCACAGGGAAGCCTTGCCACTTGTCCTGTTTTTTCCTGCTCTTCCCTAAAGGATGATTTCTGTTCTACACAGTCAAGGACACAACTGTTCTCAAACAAAACTGTCAATTAATCTCAGCTAATCTCAGGTTCTTCAATAGGGTTAAAAACAGCTGCCTCACTGGCTCTGGTAGTTGGTCATTTTGCCCTTTTCTGTGGTCAAAGCTTATTAGTTTCCTCCTATCCTCATTATAAAATGCTACTGAAAAAGAAACATTCTGGTGGCCCCAGTGTCGAAGGCTTCCTACTGCAAGGATACATGTGGGACGTGCAGCTGTCCCCGGTGATTACTAAGACAGGTTTCTAACCCTACACTAGACAACGGAGATAAGGGACAAGAAGTCCCAAGAGGCTGAGTGAGAAGGTAGGGATCGAGGTCTGCGAGTGCCTCACAGAGAGGCTTCCTACCAAGGAAGATGGTCAGGAGAAGGATGCTGGAACTCTGGGTACCTAAACGTGAGTAGCCTGGTAAGTAGTCAGCCCACAAGTGGCAATGAGAGACACGTGGATGATGCAGAGAAATCATGAAGGGGGAGTGGATCGAGGTTCCCAGTCACCCACAAAATCACCTTATGGAAGACAGCAGCCCGTGGAGACTGTCATATCCTGGTTAGTTGTGTTTAACCCTCACTCCCTGTATCAATCACTACTTCATCCCCTGAATAACTAAGAAAAGAAGAGTTGAGACTAAAGTAGCTAACCGTGTGGCCCCTTCTTACTGAAGACCTAGGTACTGAGATGGGGGCGAGTTGAGGAGCTGAGGGTTCACATGAACCTGGTTGAGATCATTTACTATCTACAAGGGAACCCAAAGAAGCTGTAAATTCAGCTTGAAATATGATCCCAAAGGTGAGATAAATGGGGTCTTTAAAATGTGCTTGAAGAGTTAACAACTGCTTTTTAAATGGCTTCTACCAAATCCAGTTTGTACAGGAAACCAGTTACAAACAGAAAAATGAAGTGACCTATGACCACTGCTACAACGGTGCTTGGGAATTTCCCTCATGCTCTTCCATACAGTTTCCAAGTCACAGTGACATTCCCATGATCCAAGAAAGACTAAGTCATGCATGCCTTATATAAATATGCACCATTTGAATGTATTATAATGTATGGTATTCTATCAAGTCATTTTATTATAATTCATATAGGAATATTAATGGTTTTCTCCTGTATGTTTAGTCCTTTTTCTACATATTGTTTCCTAATGATACACAGAAATTTAGACAAGCATTTCTAATTTTATCATAGAGGTTGCTATGTTGTATGATAATTTTATATTTTAATTCTCGTATCAAACTCAGGCCAGTTAATTCTGAAACAATCACCATTTCTCATATAGATGAGTGACGGGAAGACAATAATGTGTGGGTATGTTCGGGTAAGGGCACTAGGGTCACTCTGAGGCAAGACTGAGACTTTCCTGATACTTGGAACTATTATGAGTATGAATTTCCATTGTTCTAATGGACTACACTTCTTAAGAAAGATGGGTAACACCTTTATTCACACTTATAAGGTAAATGACTTATTATTACTGTTATTATCTTTCATTTTGTGCTTTTTGAGCAGGACATCTAAAGTATATATTCATGTTTAGCTAGCCTTTTTGACAGAGAACACATATTTTGGTGTTTTCTAATATTGCTCATTCCATTTGGCACAGCTGGATCCCATCAACATTTATTGGTAAGTCCATCAGCATTTACTGGTTGGTCTATTGGCATTTACTGGAAGAAAGGCCAGAGGATTGATGAGAAGGCCCCTTAGGAGCAAACAGTCTTGCTGGAACCCTGCTCTCACATATCAATATGTGGAGTTAATTTGATGGAACTGAGCCTGGAGACTCAACAGGAGACCACTTTGCCTTGGGCACCCCCCACCCTCTGCTCCCTGACAGAGTAACAGAGCAATCCTGACCCTCTGGTTTTCCTTCCAGTTGCTAGAACAGGTCTGGAAAGTATTAAGTGTTAACCGGCAAATCATTTTGATATGCATTTATTATACTTAAAGATACAAATATAAGTATCCTCCAAGGGACTTTTACAACATAAAATAAAATAAAATTTTACTTTTTGCAGGAACTTTTATATGTTTCTATTTCAGACCTTCTTCTAGTCTCAAAAATATATGTTGACCAGATGGTTAACATTAAAGATTAGATGTGAGGTTTATTGTCTTCATTTCCTCATCCAAGTAAAGTAAAACAGATTGAATAAACAGTTTATGGCTGGCTGGATAGCCTATGGCAGTAAACAAGTCAGGAGAAACATGGAAGTTCATTATACATGGACTTCTGTGAAGGAAAAACATCAAGCTTTGGGCTAATATTTTCAGCTTAAACTCAACGTGACTTGTATTTCTCCCCTATGGTTTAAGGCTATGGATTATGGAAAAGTATTAGGTTAGCTGTATTTCATGAAAATAATGTACTGTGTATGTGCTGGTCAAATACATTTTTTCTTTTTCAAATATTATGCCTTTTGATTGACAGAGAAAATTGTCAGATATTTAATCATAGTGACAGTACACTCCTTATCTACCAAAAAATGTTGTTCCTGCTAATGAAATGTGGGGACACACAGCCTTAAAGGAAAGGAACAATATGTACCAACCGAGTATTTGTCAGGTCCGATTGTTCACTAATGGACCTTAATATAGCTTTGATAGATGACATAAAAGGAATTTTGGCCAGGAAATTGAAATATACAGTTCCATTAGTTAGGAACAATAAGATGAAGATTTACCATGCTAGAAACATTAGCTCACTCTCCAGGCCCTCAAACAAAATTCTCCAGTCATAGTCTCAATATTATTACAAATAAATTAATTAGAATATTTCCTTTTACTTTTGCTTTATTGATGGGCATATTAATAAAATATTTATTCCAGGAATTACTCTTGCTATTGTGATTAACCAAACAGCTCTTTAATTAATAATGTTAAGCTCATGAGAGCCTGTCTAGACATCCTGTTAATCACCAAACTGTAGAAAGCTGGTCTGTGTGCTTCTTGGCTTCCCAGAATAGGAGTTGAAATAGCCTTTGCGGCTCTCTGCTGATATACAAGAAAGGGAATGAGATTTGTTCTCACCAAGTCAAAAACAAGCCTACAAAGCAAGTAACAAGAGGGTGACATCCTCTGTATTTCAGTTCCTTTCTTTTTGGATATTTGAGACAGGGTCTTACTCTGTAGTCCAGGCTGGCCTGGGATATCCTGTAGCACCAACTCACCTCAGATCCATGGCTAGCCTTTGCTGTAGTCCCTGAGTGCTGAAACTACAGGGAGAAAGCGTTTTACCCAGCAGAGACTTTTCCCTTGCCTTGCTGATGATTGAAGCCGAGCCTCATGAAAGCTCATCTAGTGCTATAGTACTGGGCTCTATATTTGTGATTTTAGTAAAGTTTTGAAAGAGGCAGTTCCTTTAAAGCAGCATTTGCCTCTTCCCTTAAAGCCACCCATTACCATATAGAATTTAAAATGATATCTCTGTGTTGTAAATTCTGACAGCATAAAACAACCATTTTCACTATATTTAATGAAGGCAGAGGGCTTAAGATTTGGTTTTAACAGCACTTTTTCTGTGAGAGGTTAATCACTTGCCACCATTGGGAATTGACATGAGGTTTGGTTTGATTTGACCTGCAGGCTTTGCATAAGGACTGGCAGTGTTTGGTTTCACACACAGAGCCATCAGGATGACAAGCATGTATTCTAGCTGTTTCCTAAGGAGGCACTTTCAGGAGAAATGTATGAGTGAGACAGCCTTATCTAGGTATGCAGAAGGGAGACAGAGTTGTTGGGGTGGGAAGAGCTGGTCAGTGGGTTGGTCAGAAGCCAAGCAATTCTTTCAACAGAAGTAGTGTGATGATATATTATTTATGATTTATTAAAGCTGGCCTGAGGATTCAGAAAGCAAAGTTAGCCACAAGCTATAAAGGTCAGGCAATGGTGATACACACCTTTAATCCCAACAGCCATAGAACTAGGAAGTGGAGGTATATACCTTTAATCTCATGACTCAGAAGTAGACAGATCTCTGTTAGTTCAGGCCGCACTGAGCTACACAAAATTGATCTAGTCCTAAAGAGAAACAGCTCACATAAAAATGATCTCAGCACTTTCGATCCCATGCCTTTAATCCCAGAACTCATGAGAGGTATATAAGACAGGAGCAAGGTCTCAGATCAAGCATTCATTCTCCTGCCATACTGAAGATAGGAGGCAGTCATTTTCCAGCCACATTGAGGATAGGAAGACATTGAAGTCTCAGGATTCTCCAGTCAAGCTGAGGAGAGGCAGCAGTCTAAGGTTTAGCAGAGCCCCAGGATCACCTTTTAGACTGAGGTAGTGAGATCTAGTGCCTGGCTGCTTTGCTTTTCTGATCTTCAGCTTGAAGCTTGAACCCCATCATCATTCTCTAGGTCTTTTATTTGT